CAATTGGCAGGGAGCCTGTGTTGGAGGTCAGGGCCCGAATCTGCAGCATTGAGGAGTCGTAGTTCATATCCAGCGGGTCAGTTGACCGGTGAAATTCAAACACCATACGGAGCGAGTTTGCGTCGTAGACTGTCATTGGAGGGGCCAGAGCTGTTGGGGGCGAGGAATGCAAACAACAGCTAATTCGAAAAGCAGGACGAATATGGAAGGGGGAATATAAGTAGGTAGTAAGCTGATATAAATGCAAGGCTGAGTTGAAGGGAGGGGAGGACTGACCTGAAGAGTCCGGGACAGTAGCCGAGGTAGGAGAAGCGAATGGAACGGCCGGCTGTGAAGCAACCGCGTAGGTCGGATTGCCGACCAGCAAGTCGAGCAGATCCGTACTAAGTTTGTCCACATTACCTTTAAAGAGAGGAAACGGTTTCATTTAAAAAATCCAAAACTGCTAGGCTGTTCAGTGATCAAGGGCGGCATTTCGTAGTGAGTCCTACAAGCCTTTTTATAGATATCAGATTCTCATAGGTGAGTTATTTTGTTTTAAGAAGGAATCAATCTACAGCTCCGGAGCCCTTATTGGCAGCGACAAAGAAGTTGAATTTACTCCTTCCAGAACTGATTATGGTGTCATGTTGTCGCTATTCGAACATATAGACATCAACAAACTGTAACGGCCAATGGTGTCTTATAACTTCCAAGTCATTTTCCCACTGATTGTCCATTGGCTCCCTGAAATTAGAAGAAAACTGAAGCATGAATGGGCTTTTTCGTTAACAATATGATCACAGGAGGCGAAAACCAATGATCGATTTAATTCTGATTGAACAACTACTGAAACACTGCTAGAAACCGGGATTGTCGGTGTTCACCAAGGCGTGCACAGGGTTGTTTCGTCGCGCCTATAGTTTGCATAACAGGGATTTAAAAGGTCGTGTGAAGAGTTAGCTGTCGCGATTGCACAGGTATTCACACAATAAGTCCGTAGTTCGTGTCGTATGTTAGTGATAACAAGAGCTTGGCTTTAAATCTGACAGAAATGACTGCGATGGTGAGGCATCTTTACAAGGATGGCCTTGAAATAATAAGCCGGCCATTCATTGCTCCTGATAAGTCCACTATTTATGTCCTAATCGCCAAGCCAATATAAAAAATATCCGGAAAGAGCAATACCAACATTTTAAGAGTTTTGTGCCAATACAATGGAAACGAAATTTCGTACATACGCTTTTTCAAAGAGCTAGGCGTATTTGTTCTAGTGAGAACCTAGCTGCTCAAATCGCCCGCATCAAAGAAGCCCTATTTAACCGTGGCTATCCTGCACGCTTCATTGAAAAGTACAGCGACTCTCTACGGTCAAAACTGGCGGAACAGTCAGCTCTGAAAAATCCCGTTATTACATCATTACCCTTTAAGGGTGATAATATTTCAAGTACAATTAAAATACGTTTGCGCTGCACCAAGGCGGCTGAACTCGTCTTTCTCAATCCTACTAAACAAGGCAAAGGATGACTTACTGTTGAACGCCACCATAAACTGTGTTTATGAATTCATGTGCACTTGTAGATGCAAGTACATTGGACGTACGCAAAGGCTACCGGCAGACAGGGCCGCTGAGCATTTAACTAGTTGGCTTTCCAGGCAACAAAGTAGAGTACCTCGGTCCTTGAGTATTAAACATCTATTACGCAGCGGTCACTCTGTTGACTGACTCGTGACCGAACAAGTACCCGGATCCTGTGCTACTCGGAAGTATGGCAGGGTAAACCCGACCTCTCTCTCACTTTTTTCTTTCCTATATGATGGTTTAGGGTAACATCTCTCATTTGACCATTACTTGCAGTGAACTATGACCCTTGCTGTTATGCATTGACATTCTACGAAAATTCAATCTGCTGTGTGCTTCCATCATTTTGTCCTCGAGGAAGGAGACGGGCAGGCACTAAGAGGAAAAACCCACCTGATGTGTTGGGAGGTGGCGATGTCGTCGTCGGAGCAGTAGGCCCGTCGGACAACAGATCCAGCAGATTGAAC